CAAAGATGCCAAAACCATACAAAGGAAAAAAGATAGCATCTTCAACAAATGGTGCTGGTCGAACTGGATGTCTACATGTAGAAAATGAAAATAGATCCATCATTATCACCCTGCACAAAACTGAAGTCCAAGTGGATCAAAGACCTCAACATAAAACCAGACACATTAAATCGGCTAGAAAAAAAAAAGTGGGAAATACCCTAGAACTCATTGGTACAGGAGAAAACTTCCTGAACAGAACCCCAACAGCACAGGCTCTAAGAGCAACAATCAATAAATGGGACCTCATGAAACTGAAAAGCCTCTGTAAAGCAATGGACACTGTCATCAAAACAAAGTGACTGCCTACATATTGGGAAAGATTCATCACCAACCCTTTATCTGACAGAGGACTCATATCCAGTATATATAAAGAACTAAAGAAGCTGAAAAGCAACAAACCAAGTAATCCACTTAAAAAATGGGGAACAGAGCTAAACAGAGAATTCTCTGTAGAAGAATATCGAATGACAGAGAAGCACTTAAAGAAATGCTCAACCTCATTAGCCATTAGGGAAATGCAAATCAAAACAACCCTGAGATTTCACCTTACACCCATCAGAATGGCCAAGATGAAAAACTCAAGGGACAACACATGCTGGAGAGGTTGTGGAGAAAGGGGAACCCTTCTCCACTGCTGGCGGGAATGTAAACTTGTACAACCACTGTGGAAATCAATCTGGCGCTTTCTCAGACAACTAGGAATAGCGCTTCCTCAAGATCCAGCCATACCACTCCTAGGCATATACCCAAAAGAGGCGCAAGTACACAAAAAGGACATTTGCTCAACCATGTTTGTAGCAGCTTTATTTGTAATAGCCAGAAGCTGGAAACAGCCCAGATGCCCCTCAACTGAAGAATGGATGCAGAAATTGTGGTACATCAATAAAATGGAGTATTACTCAGCAATGAAAAATAAGGAAATCATGAAATTTGCAGGTAAATGGTAGGACCTGGAAAGGATCATCCTGAGTGAGTTGTCCCAGAAGCAAAAAGACACACACGGTATATACTCACTCATATAAACATACAAAATAGAATAAACCCACTAAAACTTGTACATCTAAACAAACTAAGCAAAAGAGAGGACCCTAAGTAAAATGTTCAATCCCCACCCTGAAAGGCAAAGAGGATGGACATCAGAAGAAAAAGAAAACAGGAAACAACCTAGGAACCTGCTACAGAGGGCCTCTGAAAGCCTCTGCCATGCAGACTATCAAAGCAGATGCTGAATCTGGTGGCCAACTGTCGGGCAGAGTGAACGGAATTTTATGTAAGAAGTGGGAAATAGTAAGAGCTGGAGAGGAAAGGAACTCCACAAGGAGAGCAACAGAACAAGAAAATTTGAACACAGGGAACTTCCCAGAGACTCATACTCCAACCAAGGACTATTCATGGAGATAACCTAGAACCCTGACAATGCAGCCACTTCTGATGAGAACTGATAGACTAAGATCAGAAAGAAAGAGAGGAGGACCTCCCCTATCAGTGGACTTGGGGAGGGGCATGCATGCAGAAAGGGGGGAAGAGGGTGGGACTGGGATGGGAGGAGGGAGAGGCTTATGGGGGCATACAAAATGAATAAAGTGTAATTAATAAAAGTTAAATAAAAATAATAAAAGGAAAAAAGTTAAAATTAAAAAAAAGAAAAAAAAAGAAGTTGTGGTACATTTACACAATGGAATGCTACTCAGCAATTAAAAACAAGAAAATCATGAAATTTTTAGCCAAATGGTGGGATCTAGAAAAGATCATTCTGAGTGAGGAAATCTCTGAACCAGAAAGACACACAAGGTATATACTAACTTATAAATGAATATTAGATTTATAATATAGATAAACATACTAAAATCTGCACACCTAAAGAAGCTAAGCAAGAATGTAGTGCCCCTTCTCATCTTTTTTGATTCATTTTGAAAGTTTATTTTATTAGATATTAGGACTTTTCTGAAACTGATACTCCAGGAAGGACCACTCATAGAGATGGCCTGGAACCCCTGCACAGAGGTAGCCTATGGCAGTTCAGGATCCAAGTGGCTTCCATAGTAATGGGGACAGGGACTGCCTCTGACATGCACTGATTGGCCTGCAGCCTTACCAGGCCACAGAAGAAGACAATGCAGCCACTCCTGATGAGACCTGATAGACTAGGATCAGAGGGAAGGGGAGGACCCTTGATTGGGGCTCTGCATGCACTCACTTGAAGGCACACTCACTCTCTAGCAGGTCTGATCAGATAGCACAGGTATTTCTCCTTTTCTCTACTCCTAGATTTGGGCCTACCAGGTCAAATGCATGTGTAGGAGCTCCAGCAGCTCAGTGGTGCTGCAGCTGCAGAACTTGGAAGCTGGTATAGCAGCCTGCTGGAAATCCAGTGTTAGGGACAGAACTGGGAGGCTGCCTGTACAGATGCCTTCTAGGAGACCCTTGGGAGCCAGGAACCTGTGTGGCCCAAGGGATCTGGGTGGCCTGTTCTCTATCTCAGATAACAAAAAAGAGTTCTGTCCTAGATGCCCTGGGCATTGCAGACATCCATCGAGGAAGGAGGCCCATCAAGGGGAAGTACAGGGGTATGGAATGTTCATCAATTTCAGTCCACAGAGAAGTCCACTGGTGACATGGGTCCAAATGGTCTTAGCTCACAGGTTGTGCCTTCTCACCCAGGAAGCCTCAGTGTTGATGTTCTGGATTCAGTAGCCCCTCCACTAACGAATTTCGGAGTTTCAGATTCTCTGTCCCTCAGATATGGCCTGCACTGGGCCACCATCTTGGATTCCCTGAGAGCAGATGTTTAAAGTACATCCTTAATATTTTCTGAATTTTCTCATTGTCTGTTGTTATGTCTCCCTTTTCATCTCTAATTTTTTGTCTCATTTTGTTTTTTATTTATTCATTTTGCACCTAGTTGTAGCCCCCATCTTTCTCTCCTCCTGGTGCCACTCTTTCACCCTTGTTTCTGCTATTCCTCTTCCCCTACTCCTCAGAAAAGGTGAGTCCCACACATTGAGGCTGTCTCTACCATAGCTGCCTGTGCAGGCTGAAGGCATTTATCCCCTGGTCAGCTGCAGCTTCCTACACACTAGTCATTTTCTGGCTGAGTAATGAATGTGAAATGCAGATAGACTTCAAGTGAAAGCAGGTCATGACTATCCCTCCTGAGCATATCACGGGATGAATTGATATTAATTCCTCTACCAGAGATAGCAAATGGAGATTGCAAGGGCTTTCTTGTAAGATCTCATCAGTCTTTTAAGTAGTCTATTATTTTCTAGGAATACACATTAGAATGTTTTCATTTGGGAAAACATTCATTTGGGAAATATCATTCATTTGGGAATGATATTTTCCATGACATACTGCCAATTAAAATGTTTAGGTTATAAATTTAGTTACACTAAATGTATTTATTTTTTGGACTGAAATAACCTTAAAATAGAAGTGCTCTGTCCCTGCACCTCTTCCACTTGGGAGCTATATTTGTCTGATAAAGCATTTTACAATAGCAAAAGGGGCCCCTTTTCCCAATGAAAAAAGGTCCTGATGTGTAAAAACAGTTTGGTTCCTCTATAGGAATGGACTTGGTACATTGTATAGCCCTCTGACCTGCTACAATTTTGATGTGATTGAAGCCTTTTGTTTTGGAACGCTACACTCCTTTGTCTTTCCTAGGCAGAAACTTTCTCTTAGTCAGACAGCTAGAGGAGTCTTTACAGTCTTAATTGGTTTAATAAAACTTTCTCATATGGAATGTTTCAGAAAAAAAAGAGGACTTAATAAAAAATATACTACCCAATGAAAATATTCGAGATTTAATAGGAATATGCTTCTCATAAAGGTAGCTTTGTTACTACACTGATACAATATGTTGAAACAATATAGTAAATTCACTGATATAGAAAAGTTGATGTGTTCAAATTTTTCTTCAATAATATTACTTTAGGACAGAAGCATAATTTTAAAATATTCAGGAGAATGGAGAGACAGTGCAGCAGATGCATGTGCTTTCCTAGCTCCCATGTAAGGTGGCTCATGAATACCTGAAATTCTATCTCCACAGGTATCCAACAGTCTGTGTGTGTGTGTGTGTGTGTGTGTGTGTGTGTGTGTGTGTGTGTGTGGAAACACAAAAAATACATACTAAAACAAATGTAGAAAAAAATATGCTTTCAAAAATACTTTTTCTTTTCAGCTCTAGGTCTTGAACACGAGTCTCCACACATGCTCATCATGTTTTCTGTTACTGGTCAACACCTACAGGCTAATAATTCTTTTTTTTCTTCTTTTCCTTTGTCACGCCATAAAGAATAGCATGTGACCAAACAGAATAACACAGGCTCCCAGGCTGTTAAACCGCATTGCAATAATAACTTCAGAAAAAAAAATTCTGGCATCGCATAGCATTCATTAGTAATTTCAACGTAGGCCATAACTAGGGATTTGCTTTGTGACAAAAAAAAAAAAAAACAAAAAAACATTTACATGGGTAACTATTGTCTAATAAGATCCCACTGACTTTAAAATCTGAAAATAAATATTCCCAATGCAAGAGTATCTCATATTTCCTAAGAAGGGCAACAAGTAGTGGAGAAAACTAATGAACCAAGAGCAGATTATTTCAGGTCTGACAACGAAACTCTAGAGAGTCAATTGCCACATCCCTCAAATGCCAAAACACCATTTTTATCGTACACTGGAAATGTTATGGTATTGGTGAGTAGTGTGCGGTCCACACACAAAAGCTGAGTGGGATCACCATCTTTAGTAATGAGGTAAAGATGATTTTAACTCAAAAAGCACAGAGTCCTATTGATAAACAATGGCAGCTATTTTTGAACCAGACTAAAATCACCACCAAAAAAAAAAAAAAAAAAAAAAAAAAAAGGCATAGAATTCATTTTCATAGCAATGAAAATGCTAGTAATTTAAACGATAGAATTTTAAAGTTTAAAAAATAAAGTTAAGTGCTTACATAAGCAGCACATTTGGTAAAATTGAAAGATACATAGAAGATGGGCAAGGCCCCTGCACAAGGATGACATGCAAATTTGTGAAGTGTTCTATATTTTTGAGAGCAATAAGACAACTAAAGGAGATCAAGGGGATTCAGTTCAGAAAGAAGAAGTCAAAGTATCACTATTTGCAGATGATATGATAGTATACATAAATGACCCAAAGAATTCTACCAGAGAACTCCTACAGCTGATAAATACCTTCAGCCAAATGGCTGGATAAAAACAAATCAACTAAAAAAAATGAGTAGCCCTCATGTATACAAAAGACAAAGGGGCTGAGAAAGAAATTAGGGAAATATCATCCTTCACAATAGTGACAAAGAACATAAAGTACCTTGGTGTAACTCTAGCCAAGCAAGTCAAAGACTTGTATTAAAAAAAAAAAAAGCTTTGTCTCTGAAGAAAGAAATAGAAGATATCAGAAGATGGAAAGATCTCCCATGCTCATTGCTTGGCAGGGTTAACACAGTAAAAATTTGATGGGAATTGCATTGAATCTGCCGATTGCTTTTTGTAAGATGGCCATTAAATTGCCAACACAATTTTTTACAGACTTTGAAAGAGAATTTCTCAACAATAACAAGAAATGACAACAATAACAAGAAACCCAAATTGCTGTAACAATTCTCTACAATAAAGGATCTGGAGGTATCTTCATCCCTATCTCAACCTGTACTATAGAGCAACAACAATAAAAACTGCATGGTACTGGCATAGAAACAGAATCAATGGATCAATGGCATTGAATAGAATTCACTGAAATAAACCCACACACTTATGGACACCTGAGTTTTAACAAAGATGCCAAAACAATACAATGGAAAAAAGATAGCAGCTTCAACAAATGGTGCTGGTCTAACTGGATGGCTACATGTAGATAAATACAAACAGAACCATACTTATGACCCTGAACAAACTGAAATCCAGTGGATTAAAGACCTCAATATAAAAACAGACACACTAAAACTGTTAGAAGAAAAAGTAGGGAAGAGTCTTGAACTCATTGGCACAGGAGACAACTTCCTGAACAGAACACAAACATCACAGGCTTTAAAAACAACCATTAATAAATGAGACCTCATGAAACTGAAAAGCTTCTGTAAAGCAAAGGACACTGTTGTCAGAACAAAACGACAGCTACAGACTAGAAAAGGATCTTAACCACCCTATATCTGACAGAGGGCTAATATCCAAGATATATAAAGAACTTAAGCAGTTAAACAACAACAAATCAAGTAATCTAATTAAAAAGTGGTGTACAGAGCTAAACAGAGAATTCTCTGTAGAGGAACATCGAATGGCGAGAAAGACTTAAAGAAATGTTCAACATCCTTAGTCATCAGGGACATACAAATCTAAATGACGCTGAGATTTCACCTTACACCCATCAGATTGGCTAAGATCAAAAACTCAAGTGACAACACATGCTCGGTAGGATGTGTAAAAAGAGGAACTCCACTCCATTGCTGGTGGGAACGTAAACTTGTACAACCACTTTGGAAATCAATCTGGAGCATTCTCAGACAATTAGAAATAATTCTACCTCAAGACCAAGGTATACCACTCCTAGGCATATATCCAAAAGACACTCAAGTACACAACAAGGACATTTGCTCAACCATGTTTGTAGCAGCTTTAATTGTAACAGCAAGAACCTGGAACCAACCCAGCTATCTGTCAGTGGAGGAATGGATACAGAAATCGCAATACATTTTCAAAATGGAATACTACTGAGCAGTTAAAAACAAGGAAATCATGAAATTTGCATGCAAATGCTGGGATCTAGAAAAGATCATTCTGAGTGAGGTATCCCAAAAGCAGAAAGACACACGTGTTATGTACTCAATTATAAGTGGATATGAGACATATAATATAGGGTCATCATACTAAAATCTGTAAACCTAAAGAAGCTAATCAAGAGGGAGGACCCTCATAAAATGCTCAATCCACTTAGAAAGGCAAATGAGATGGAAATCAGAACAGGGAGAAAACAGGGAACAGGACAGGAGCCTCTGAAAGACTCTACCCAGCGGGGTATCAAAACATATGCTGAGATGCATAGCCAATCTTTTTGCAGAGTGCAGAAAATTTTATGAAAGTACTGGAGATAGAAAGACCTGGAGGGATAAGGAGCTCCACAAGGTGAGCAACAGAACCAAAATATCTGGGCACAGGTTTTGTTTTTTGTTTTGTTTGTTTGTTTGTTTGTTTGTTTCTGAGACTGAAACTCCAAACAAGGACCATGCATGGAGATAACTTAGAACCCCTGCACAGAAGTAACCCATAGCAGCTCAGTGTCCATGAGGGTTCCCCAATAATAGGAGCAGAGACCATCTCTGACATGAACTCATGGGCTGGCTCTTTGATCACTTCCATCTGAGGGGGGAGCAGCCTTACCAGTTCACAGAATAAAACAAAGAAACCAATCTTGATGAGCCCTGATAGATGAAGGTCAGATGGAAGGGGAGGAGGACCTAACCTATAATTGAATTGGGGGGGGGTCATAGGAGAAGAAGAGGGAGGGAAGGTGGGGTTGGCAGGGTACAGCTGGGATACAAAGTGAATAAACTGTAACTGATAAAAATAAAATGAAGTTAATGGCAATTTTAGAGAAGAACTGAGGAATCTATAATTGGGAAATTGGAAATTGAAATTCATTACAGAAGATAGTTGAAAATATCTATAGTCCAGCAGGGGGCAATGTTTATTTTTCAGAAATTGACCCAAAGCTGACTCCTGACTCATATTTAAGTCCTGGACCAAGCTTACTGGCCAGAATTAGAGTTCCTACTTCAGCAGTGTTTCCTCAAAGCTTCCCCAGCCTCCCTTGCAGTAGAGTTGTCCCCTGGGCTGAAGAGATGCAATGTGCCACTGGTAAAGGTAACAGTAGAAGACTCATACTGCAACAATTCCCGTTTTCCCAATACCCTGAGAACACCAGAGTCCAGCAGCTTCTCTGGATGCTGGGGATTTCTGGACATTTTACACCATGACCTGGGTACCTGCCCCATTTCCTATTTGTCCTCATTTCTACCTATCTCTTTCAGGTTTCATAGACATTAAAGAGGCCTGTCTTCGGAATGGTCCCTCTCATGTCTTGATGTTTTTCTAACAGGTTATTTCATTTCAGGGTCTACCCCCGCACCCTTTGAGGTGGTGATGCTGGGAATGACTCTCTCCAGTAGTTGCTGATTATCCCTTTGCAACCTGAATCCAAAGTAGCCTGACCAAACCTGTAATCCTGGAATCACACAACAATTTATATGTGCTTTCACTGTCCTGTCACTTTTCTCCTTAAATATAATGTTTCCCTAGAGTTCTAGGGCTACAAGACTGAGGACAATGTTGAAGGCTACTGCATTCTTTTTTTAATTATTTTTTTATTTTTAAATATTAGGTATAGTTTATTAACTTTGTATCCCAGCTGTATCCCACTCCTTCATTCCCTCTCAATCCCACCTCCATTCCTCATCTTCTTCTTGCCCCTTTCCAAATCCACTGATAGGGGAGGACCTCCTTCCCTTTCTTCTGATGCTGGTTTATCAAGTATCTTCAGGCTCAGCACCATGAGCTACAGATGGAGAAGCAAGAACTAAACACACATTGGCCTGAGCCTCTTGTAAGCACTGTCCTGTGATAGTGGGATCCCAGGACCAGGCACTGTTGCCATTCTAATGTTGACTCCCTAGAGATAAGAGGTGAATGGAAACCTCTGCCTCCATTTGTGTCCTAGTTAGATTCAATAGATGTTTGTCGGCTATTTTGATAGTAAGAAACAGAGCCCAAATCTATTATTTTGCTCTTAGATATATTTGTTTGTAAGAGTAAAGTCAACAGGTCTCCCAAAACAAAGTATAGGAAACTTGGAGTTAGCTCAAGATACCCCAAATCAGGATCTCAGCTCAATGGAGATTTAGTTGCCCTAGAGGAACAAAGGGCAGGAATAAGGAACAAAGACAGAAGATAAAGGAAGAGGGAGAAGGGAAAGGAAACAAGGGAGAGGGGAAGTTTTAAGCCAGCCTCTGAATAGACAAAAGACATATGTGTTCCATAAGTAAATGGCAGTTTATAAAGGGAAAAGGGAAAACTTTGTGTTAAGATGAGGTGTTTATTTCTGCAGTGGTATCAATAGTGGTTTTTAGAGTAGAGGTAACCATGTGCCTTCAGTCTACAGAGTTAGGATGAGACACCATAATCAAGGCGGGGTAGAAGAGATTAGGAATGGGAAGGGGCAGATGTTAATCTTAAGTATATTTGCATTCTTTCTGGTACAAGATAAAATCAAGTCAGTGGAGACTGGGATTAGTTAGGAATGAATTGCAATCAGATCAAGATATAATTGTCGAATTAAGTTTTTTTAATAGATTGCAAACATAGATGTTTAGTCATTCTCTAGATCAATTCTTTAAGAGTAGAATTTTATATCAATTTACAAGCTTCAGACATCACCTTTGTTTGTTACATAAGGTCTTGTATGCAAATGTCCACTTGGACACTGAGAGCTTTAAGGAACAAAAAAAGGACAATGGGAGTTGCCATTTTTAGCAGCAATAAAACATCACTAACCCCTGTTTACATAACGAATTCAAGTCACTACCAGAGGTGAGTGCACCACAAAGTCGGCAGATACAAAATTGCTAGTTCATTTTCAAATTAATAATTAACCTAAAATTACCTGTGCCCACCCACCCTATTACACCCCTTTTTATAAACAGCAAACAGTTCTGCTTTTATATATAGGCTAGCAGGCTTGTTTCAATATGAAAGTGCTAATTCATTTACAGTTATTAAAATCAGTTATGTAGTGCCACAATAAATGTCCAATCAACATAGGAACAATCTGATGAATGAAAATGATAAAGACTGAATAAGGCTATCTGATTACCTTATCTTATTTACATATAAAGAATACCCAATGGTAAGGAAGAGATAAAAATCAGACAAATACTCAAGGTATAAAAATTACATCTAGCTTGGAACTTTATACTGTAAATGAGACATTTTCTCCCCTCTCTTCCTAAAGGCATGTTTAAAAATAAGCCTTTATTGGTCTTA